GGTACAGCCTTGACAATTAAATGTAATAACTCCAAAAATGGGGATGCTGGCTCTGTAGTAGTTCAGTCCAAATCTTGCTCATTCCATAGGGTTAATTTTTCCTACCGTGGCAAACAGACGTGCAGCCCGAGGTAAGGGGGGCTTTGGCGCTGGCCCTGGGTTTACTTTTAGCCGATTCCGGGTGAGCAAGTTGGAATGTCCTCGTTAAACTCCAGGTACGGAAAGGTGCTCCGGGTTGCGGATGCCTTCGCAGGGCTCTTTGTGATTCGCCGCGCAGAACTGTCTCAGTGGCTTAAAGATGCGGTTTGGAGGCGCCGCTGGCAGGATCAGCAGGAGCAGTGGACGCGGCGCTCTCTGAGCAGCACTGTTCAGCGGCACCGTGCATGCAATTAGGGCGCCGCTGCGCTTAATAGCGTGACAGGGAAGCCCACCATCAAAGCCAACGCGCTCCCGTCTCTCCCCACAAAAGCTCCTGAAGACAATTGGCGATTTAAGAGCTTCTTTCGGGGTCCTTTTGATGCATTATCTGGCCTCCCCTTTGCCTCTGAAAAGTATTATTTAGGTCCCCACTTTGGCATATTGTGGCTCCTTGCATTTCTGTGAAAATGGGAGACCTTCGCTGTGAACTGTTAACTGAAAAGATTCTGAAAGGAGGGCAGAGTGGCTGGGTGTAGGTGAGGGGGGGACCCCCGTAAAATGGTGCTTTTTTTTTTTCCCCCCTCTCTTAAATTAGAACCATGAAAGTGAACTGACAGCCATCTTATGTATATTTATGGATTGGTTTTGAAAAAGGGAGGGGAGGAGATAGGATGAACACTAAAATGGGACTTTATTGAACCTGCCCTTATCTTGTAAAGAGCAGCATTTCCTGTTGCACTCATTAGGAAATGAAATCAACCTTTAAATCAAAATGATTATCAGATTTTAAGAAAGCCTGGAAATGTCCTTGTTGGGGAGGGGGTGCCATTCATAGCCCCTCCTACTGGATTTCAGAGAAATAGTATAAGGGAAAAGAGACTTTCCGAGTGATCCCTTAAATTTTTGTCATATTCTGTTGTTTCCCTTTTTTTCCTTTCTCCCTTGCAGGAGGTAAAATGCACACTTGCTGCCCCCTGGTAACTTTGGAACAGGACCTCCACAGAAAAATGCATAGCTGGATGCTGCAGACTCTAGCATTTGCTCTAACATCTCTCGTCCTTTCGTGTGCAGAAACCATCGATTATTATGGGGAAATCTGTGACAATGCATGTCCTTGTGAGGAAAAAGATGGCATTTTAACTGTGAGCTGTGAAAACCGGGGGATCATCAGCCTCTCTGAAATCAGCCCTCCCCGCTTCCCAGTCTACCACCTCTTGCTGTCTGGAAACCTTTTGAACCGCCTCTATCCCAATGAGTTTGTCAATTACACTGGGGCTTCGATTTTGCATCTGGGTAGCAACGTGATCCAGGACATCGAGACGGGGGCTTTTCATGGGCTTAGGGGTTTAAGGAGACTGCATCTGAACAACAATAAACTGGAACTTCTGCGTGATGACATATTCCTTGGCTTGGAGAGCCTGGAGTACCTACAGGTCGATTATAATTACATCAGTGTCATTGAACCCAATGCTTTTGGGAAACTGCATTCGTTGCAGGTGCTTATCCTCAATGACAATCTCTTGTCCAGTTTACCCAACAACCTTTTCCGTTTTGTGCCCTTAACGCACTTGGACCTGCGGGGGAACCGGCTGAAACTGCTGCCCTATGTGGGGCTGTTGCAGCACATGGATAAAGTGGTGGAGTTACAGCTGGAGGAAAACCCCTGGAACTGCTCCTGTGAGCTGATCTCCCTGAAGGATTGGCTGGACAGTATCTCCTACTCAGCCCTGGTGGGCGATGTGGTTTGTGAGACACCCTTCCGCTTACACGGCCGGGACTTGGACGAAGTGTCCAAGCAGGAGCTTTGCCCGAGGAAACTGATTTCAGACTATGAGATGAGGCCCCAGACGCCTCTGAGCACCACGGGGTATTTACACACCACCCCAGCTTCGGTGAATTCCGTGGCCACCTCTTCCTCTGCTGTTTACAAACCTCCCTTGAAAACCCCTAAAGGGACCCGCCAACCCAACAAGCCCAGGGTGCGCCCCACCTCTAGGCAGCCCTTCAAGGACTTGAGCTACAGCAATTCTGGCCCCAGCATCGCCTACCAGACCAAATCTCCCGTGCCTTTGGAGTGCCCCACCCAGTGCTACTGCAACCTGCAAATCTCCGATCTGGGCCTCAACGTCAACTGCCAGGAGCGAAAGATCGAGAGCATCTCAGAGCTGCAGCCCAAGCCCTACAACCCCAAGAAAATGTATCTGACGGAGAACTACATCGCCGTGGTGCGCAGGAGCGACTTCCTGGAGGCCACGGGGCTGGACCTCCTGCACCTGGGCAACAACCGCATATCCATGATCCAGGACCACGCCTTTGGAGATCTCACCAACCTGAGGCGCCTGTACCTAAACGGCAACAGGATCGAGAGGCTCAGCCCAGAGTTGTTCTACGGCCTGCAGAGCCTGCAGTACCTCTTCCTCCAGTATAATCTCATCCGCGAGATTCAGCCTGGGACTTTCGACCCGGTGCCAAACCTCCAGCTGCTCTTTCTGAATAACAACCTCCTGCAGGCCATGCCCTCGGGCGTCTTCTCCAGCCTGACCCTCCTCAGGCTCAACCTGAGGAGCAACCACTTCGCCTCCTTGCCAGTGAGTGGGGTCCTGGACCAGCTGAAGTCACTCATCCAAATCGACCTCCACGACAACCCCTGGGATTGTACCTGCGACGTGGTGGGCATGAAGCTGTGGGTCGAGCAGCTCAAAGCGGGCGTCCTGGTGGACGAAGTCATCTGCAAGGCGCCCAAGAAGTTCGCTGAGACAGACATGCGCGCCATCAAGTCGGAGCTGCTGTGCCCAGACTACTCGGACGTGGTGGTGTCCACGCCCACGCCCTCCTCGGCCCAGGCCCCCGCGAGGACCAGCGCGGTCACCCCCACCGTGCGCTTGAACAGCACCGGGGCCCCCGCGGGCTTGGGCGCGGGCGGAGGGGCGTCGTCCTCGGTGCCCTTGTCGGTGCTGATCCTCAGCCTGCTGCTGGTTTTCATCATGTCCGTCTTCGTGGCCGCCGGGCTCTTCGTGCTGGTTATGAAGCGCAGGAAGAAGAGCCAGAGCGACCACGCCAGCACCAACAATTCCGACGTGAGCTCCTTCAACATGCAGTACAGCGTGTACGGCGGCGGCGCGGGCGCGGGCGGCCACCCCCACGCGCACGTGCACCACCGCGGGCCCTCCCTGCCCAAGGTGAAGACGCCCGCGGGCCACGTGTACGAGTACATCCCCCACCCGCTGGGCCACATGTGCAAAAACCCCATCTACCGCTCCCGCGAGGGCAACTCCGTGGAGGATTACAAAGACCTGCACGAGCTCAAGGTCACCTACGGCGGCAACCACCACCTGCAGCA